GAAGCTACAAACTCAAAATTTCTTAAATAATGCGCATAGAAAATTAATGAATCTCTAATATTCGTTATCCTAACTCGTGAAGTGCGCAGTCAAAGGTGCTCTGTCGCGTTGGCGAGGATTTCAGAAAAAAAGGCAGAATAGTCATTTTTCGCTCTCTGGAAAGAAAGAACTCACTATATAGACACAGAACATCAAAAAAAAAGCGAGTTAAAGGATATAAAACTTGGCACCTGTGATAAAAATTTGGCAAAAGTGGATCAAAGGTCATCCAAAAAGACTTTTAAAACAGTTAAAAAGCAAAACAAAAGCCCAAAAAAAATGAATACAAAAACGAAGTTCAAAAAATAATTACAAACACGATGTTTGGTCCCTAAATTTAAGCGAATAAATTTTGAAAAGTGTTTCGGCTGGCAGACGGCGATAATCGCATTAACAGTTGCTGAATGGCCTTTTTTATTAGAAAATATGCGGAGTATGCGGAAAAATGCAGTAAAAACGCACGAGGCAGCTCGAAGTTTGATGATCATCCGGAAGATTGGTCCGAAACCATTGATTTCGACGGATATCTCAACAGCTTCATGCTTTTTGGTAGATATCGAACTGAGTGAATTTTGCATCAAATTCGCAAATGCTTTTGTAACGGCAAGCCGTAGCATGAAGAGATCTCGTTGAAATACCTGCAAATTAGGCGGCCGTTACTTTGGGAATGCAGACTTTGATTTCAATTCTTCAGTATATGTTTTATCTTCGGATTTCAGTTCTTTTTTTTTTATTTTAGTTGTTAATATTCTGCAGACCCACAAGAAAATCAAAAGCACCAGCTGGTTGCTCCTAAGCAACTTACGGACCAAGAATGCACTAGCTACCTTGCCATCGAAAGGCTGGTGTTGGTACTTATTGCTTTGCAGGTTCATCAAAATGCCTGGCAGACTCTAAAAAGGGCAAATTGTGATAGAGATTTCATTTTTTGGACATGATTTTAAAGACTGTTATTTAAAAAAAACTCCAAAAAACGGAATTCGATTCTAATTAGCGTTTCAAAAAATGTTAAAAATACTTCCTTTCAAAAAAATCGGCCTCCTGTTTTTTCAATCCTTCAAATTTTTCAAGCAAAAGTGGTAATCTAAATAAAATCATAGCGTTTTGATGGAATGATTAGAATCTTCTGATACATTTTCGTCAGATTCTCCTTTCTACCCAAGTGCTGTCCTCTTCACACGGCTCATAAAACACTGGTTTTATGACGGAAAAATTACACAATTGCGTGACTACAAATGAGATGTCAGAATGCAGTTTCCAGCAAATTTTGCTGACTGTCTTAAAAATTTCACATTCCAAATTTTGATAACCAAAAAAAATTTGCCAAAATGTTGCAAAATTGACGCACAAATGACAGATCAAGGGAGACGCGGAAATTTCCAATAATTTTCTGAAAAAAAAAACAATTTTAAATCTGTGCTGCGCAAAATTAAAGCCATTTTTTGGAAGAAAACGTTCCATTTAATTGCGTACCTTTTATAAAAAAAGGGTTGTGTGCTTAAATAGAGAGTAAAAAGTCTGTAACTTTTTAAGAAGCACGTTTTTAATTACTTATATTTCACCGCCCTTTATACTTTAATCTTGTAATTTTCATTAAATATTGCAAATGTTACTTTGTTCGTACGTTAGTGATGTCAGCTTTTTTTTTGCAAATTCTATGTACCTTATTTCATTACCATCAGCGTGCATCAAGGAGAGACTTCGTCTGTTATGAAATAATAGCGAGTTAATACACAATAAGAACATCTAAAAAGATTTTTTCAAGGAGCAAAGCGAAAGCCAGGATAGCTAGTAGGATGACCATTCGTAGATGCAGCGTTGACCAAAGCAACCGGCAAATTTCCTCGCTGTAAAGCTGGAGAATTGTGCTATGAATTTTAACTGAATAATTAAGTGCTTATTATAATTTTTTTTTGTTTCTACGTGCATTCAGTAATTTTCGCCTTCAAACCGTTAATTAATGATTGAAATTACTCAGCAACGTGATTTCTGGAAAAGCAGTGGGAAAGCATCCCTTGCCCCAATCCATTCCTGGAAGAGGGCAAAAAGTCATTCGAAAAGTCATTCTCATTCTATTTGTCCCATTAATGGTATAACAAAAAGTTTTTAAGTCGAATTGCAAAGAAGGCATAATTTCAATTTTTGAAAAAACCGTTCATAAAAGTAGCCAACCTGATGCATCAGCTGGGCATGCTCACGTTCTCGCACTGCTTGGTCAACATAAATTTTCGTTCGTCGCGGAATATTCAGTTTGCGATTTTGCGCTTGTGGTGGCCCCACCTCACACGGTTTATCATCCAGTTTCGCTGTGCGACGAAAAAGTTTC